ATATATATTAAATATTATGTTTATAATGATATGCAATTCAAATAAAATAAATACATATTTACATAATTTGAAATATAATAATTCATATTATAATATAAGTAACATTTGCTCATTTTGTATGTCACTTTAAATCTTAAATAGTACTATATTTTTCTTTACCATACTGTTTCTGTATGCTTATATATGGAGACCTGCCTATCAGTTTTAGGTATTAAGTTTTTTTTCCTGTGTTTCTTTTTCTAATCTTACTGTGTTTAAAGATGTTCGCTGTGTAGCTTGTATTTGCTTTTTTGAAGAAACAGCATTTATCATATTTAAATTATCTTTGTTTTTGTTCTTCTCAGTTATCATGTTTACAAACCTATTGTTGTTGTTTTTGTTATATTAAATCTAATGATTTTTGTTTTCATCATCATCATCATCATCATCCCGTTTGCCTCATGGGTGTCGGGTCGTGTCATTATTGTCCTCCCATCTGGTGCGATCCATTACTGCTTCTAGGTCCACCATCTTCCATCTTCTCTGATGCGGTCCATCCATCTCTTTCTGGGTCGCCCTCTGCTCCCATTTTCTACTCTTTCTGCTGCCCATCTTATCATATCAACCTCTTCCTGTCTCATTACATGATCCGTATGATTATGTTAATTTTAATTAAGTTTCTATTCTTAACAAAGTTAAAAATTACTGGACCATTTGGGACAGAAGTACATTTTTATTGAAAATGTATCCAGTCAAAAGAAAGAATAAATAAATACAGTATGTAGTCCAAAAAAAGTTTGATGAACTGGTAATTGCTCTTCTCAATCTATGTATGAGGTATATAAAACAAATATTGACTGCTCTAGATTTGGGGAACGGTGAAATATAGCCCCTCTGTGATGTGGAGACTGTAGCCTATCTTAGGCCTAAGATAGGCTACGGTCTGCACCTCTGGGCAGTAGATTTCACCATTCCCGGCCACATGAGCAGTCAATATTTGTATAATATTAGGCATCAAATCATTAAATTATAATTAAATTATAAAAGACATGGATACACAAATTAATTAACTCCTATGACAAGCTACACCTTACCTTTTTTTAATCAACACAGGTAACTTAATCCATGGACAACAAGTGTTCCTTTTGGGTTACAAATTCAGGGTTCATTCCTGATGCTACTGTATGACCATTTGGACTTTGTAACTCTATTTATGTATATAGGGGTCAAACAAAACACTTTATCTGATGTTTGCTGCAAAACTGGATACTGTATAACACTAAATTTACCCTTCTTACTGAATATCTCATCTCACCTATCCTCTTGTTTGATGGAGGTATAACATGATCATAACATGGAGGAATAATGGTGTTGTATACTTTTTATAGATAAGCTGATTAGTATAAGTAGTATAATCGCCTATTATCACAGGATAGCTACAGGTAGGCAGGTGTTTTCTGTCTGGTACCTCCCAGCAGATCAGCCTGCCATCGGAGGATATTTTAGGTTTAATATCTACTTTTAAATTTGTACCACACTTTGAAATTCAGTACCATATTCTTGTGACCCATGCCCAAATAATAACAATAAAGAAGTTTTTTTCTTGTTTCTTATTATTTAATTATCTATTTGTTGCAAAAACTAACAGCTATGAAATCTATTTTAATTTTTAATAGACACAACAAAATTTCATACTGTATATCTGCCAACTTTGTTGGTGTCTGATACGAGACAAAAACAATTGTATAGCTCCCTCCATGTAAAAATCATGACTAAATCATCCTCTATGTTTTTTTTTAAATCGTAGTGGTGTTTGTCTACAGCCATCAGTCGGTACAGCTCCATTAAAAGAAATTTATATGCATTTTAATGACGAATTCACATTTTTATGAATTTTAAAGTATAATTGGCCTATACATTTTATCTTTTAAGAATTTTTTATGTCACGTGAGATGTTAAAATTGGATGTTGATGCAAGAAATTTTTTTGAGATGGCCTCTGTCTACTATGATAAAAGTGTACCATAATATAGCAATGAAGTTAGTTTATAGCTGATAATACCAGTACTTTTTACAAAGATGAATTGTTAATCTATTAATTACTCCACAATGAGAAATTCATTACTGTATTGGCTACGTTCAGGCTTGGAGATAAGTCAGGCTTACATAAAGCCCGGCTTAACTTTGCTGGGTGTTCAGACTAGCTGGATTAGCCGGGCACAAGAATTTGCATATTAATGAACTGTAACGTGGAAACAAGTTTCAAAACATTGCGCGCGAAACGTATGCTTGCTCACAGCACACGTAATTGAATGCTGATTAGTAATTTTTTACCCGAAATCGAAATCAGCGATTAAACACGGTGGCATGCCAGGCCTAATTACTATACTACAGGAACACAGTCCGGCTTGAGATAAGCCACCTAGTTCAGACTGGCAGGTGGATAAACCCGGCTCAACTCACTGGTCTGAACGTATCCATATTCTTTATTGAAAAATTTAGATTTTAATATTTTAACTTCACAACAACTCATTCACAAGTCTCTAATTTACTGTATTGACTTTTTGTAATTTTGGATAATTTGGAATAATATGGAATGCCATTGGTGCCAAAATATAATAATTTTCACTGATTAAGACAAAATTAGGGACTGGAACCACGTCTATCACAAGAAATGCATTCTAGGTTATTACAATTGTGTTTCAAATTTCAAACATTTTGTCAACAACAAAACAAAGGTAACAGCAAGAATTTTCATTTTTGAACTTCACTTGGCTGTACTGGCTATACATTATTGATGAAAACAGAATCTAGTGACAGTTTAACTAGTATACTGTATGAGAAGTTAACTATACAGTTTAATCATTTACAGAATTCCTATATTTAGATGTGTTGCAAGCAAAACATATACAGTACAATTCAAATACAGTATGTGACCAGCTCTTGCAGGACCCACAATTTCTAGGAAAAATTCAAAATAAACTTTTTAGTATTTTAAAATTCTGTATGAATTCTCCTTTAAAATAATGTTTATTTAATGGAAATTGGTTGAGTATTAGCAAAGTTATGAATATTTAATTCATTGGATATGTGTAGTTTTGAAAAACAGCTTCTAAAATCATTAGTTTAATATTAGGATTTATATTTAAAAAAAATTTTAATATGATTTTCAGTTAAATTTAGTGATTAATAATATTTTGTAGAATGTTCTTCAATATTCTTCTTTTAAACATTTCTTTATAAATTGCAAAAACCTAAAATCATTCAAAATTCTGATTCGTTGGTCGTTATAAATTGCGATAAATGTAGCATTTTGCTGGAGCTGGTCACATATACTAAATACAAAATTAGTATAACAAGTTGATATTATATTTCTTGGTATACTGTGCAAGATATTTCTAAAATTATTGAGCAATAAATTATTTCCCCTTTAATTTGGCAACTTGATAGCACAGTACGGTCTACTCTGATAATGGAATGAGGATGTACACTATAAGTATGAGCGATTACATGCAAAGTTATGAATATTTAATTCATTGGATATGTGTAGTTTTGAAAAACAGCTTCTAAAATCATTAGTTTAATATTAGGATTTATATTTAAAAAAAAATTTTAATATGATTTTCAGTTAGATTTAGTGATTAATAATATTTTGTAGAATGTTCTTCAATATTCTTCTTTTAAACATTTCTTTATAAATTGCAAAAACCTGAAATCATTCAAAATTCTGATTCGTTGGTCGTTATAAATTGCGATAAATGTAGCATTTTGCTGGAGCTGGTCACATATACTAAATACAAAATTAGTATATCAAGTTGATATTATATTTCTTGGTATACTGTGCAAGATATTTCTAAAATTATTGAGCAATAAATTATTTCCCCTTTAATTTGGCAACTTGATAGCACAGTACAGTCTACTCTGATAATGGAATGAGGATATACACTATAAGTATGAGCGATTAATCCACACGATTAAGGAAATAATATATTCTGCTTGGGGTGACTAAACAGTTTTAAACACAATAGACTATTGTTCAATAGTAGAATAGGCCTATAAATTAAAATGGAGAACAGGACCATACGGAAATTCTACAGTCACACAATCATGCAGACTGATTATGCTCATAGTGAGTTCTTGGACTGCAAAGTGCAACGTGCAGAACAGATTCACCATTAAAAATAGACTACAGGAAAATTGACATGGATCTACAACAGGATTTAGTGTGATAAACTTCGACAGGAATAATAATAATAATAATAATAATAATAATAATAATAATAATAATAATAATATTAATAATAATAATAATAATACTAACTGTAATATAGAAATTTATATAGCGTCTTTTGCCAAAGGATGCAAGGCACTTAGATAATGTGAACTAGGAACTCGATCAATGATTTTCTTCTCCCCTAAGAGTCGCTTTGTGTCTGTGCTACCCGGAAACACAGTACCAGCAACTCTCGTCATCCACCACAGGGGCTGTCTGTCGCCTACCAGGAAGGGTTTGAAAACAATTTTGTTTAATATGCTCTACATCCATGGTATTCAGACTGTTTGATATGGTGACCCTATATTTCAGCATACACTAGCTAACATTTCGACCCACCATTTGTTTAACTAATTTTTTCTTGAAAATTTTTTCTATGGAGATAGTTTATACTTTGATTAAAATGCTTAACTGGTTAAGTTGTCAGTCACAGTATAATTATACAAAGTCGGAGGATCTTATCAAAATCCGTAATTATGTTGTGACTACAGTTTGTATAACAAGGCATTAGGTGTTTGATTCAACGACTGGGTAATAATAATGCAAAGAGCACAGAGGCATTCTTGGCATTTGCCTACTTTCATGTGTCGGACACCAAAGTTAATACTGTTATTGTCGCTAAAATGCACGACTCAAATAAATGTGATTAACAAAAACAATCTTGGAGCACTAAATATTCTATAAACTTCCAGCAACCATACAATATATTTTGGCAACCCTACTTTAAGTTCTGACCCATTTGCATATCTGGGCTCTAGATCTATAGACACTGTATCGTGTACCAAGTGGAATTTACCAATGAAATATTTGTAATTATCTAATTAATATGTATTAGGTACTGTAGAGTAAAATCAATTAATCAATTTATAAGGCATATTATATAATTTCCTTTAGTGCATTGATAAGAAATATAAATAAGGGCCAAAGCAGAGGAAGCATAAAAGAAAGTTGTATGTCTATGAGTAAGAATAACTTCTGATACTTCCGGGAAACATCCTGCTTATACTGTAGATATATGATAGGCACATACTGTAGGCCAAGCATTGCAAATAGCAAATGCAGACCAATAATTTGACACCTCTATTTAAAATAATTGCTCTGGTCATAATTATTTTCAAGATTGAAGTGTACACAGCATATAGCCATTAATTTACAAATGCAAATAAAACAAGTTCATTTTGGCGTGAACGTGTAACGACCTGGCATAGCAGTGGAGATTTTTAACCATCAATTTAATCCACTTCTAGACAGTTTAACTTATTGCGTATACATTTTTGTAATAAGAAGATATTATTTGCGTTTTCGGTTTTGAGTTTTTACTGTTTGAATGAACATTTAAACTTGTTGTTACGCTAGCCTAGCGTACCCGTAAGCCTAACTACGCTGATCTACATGACAGACCTTGCCGGATCCCACACCGGATAAATCACTCGTGGTGAGTTAATTATCAGGCAAGCAGCGTGCTCTGATATGACCCGAAAGTACAGTACAATTCCTGTACTACGTAATATGTAAACCACTTTCGGAAAAATTAGCAACAACACAGTGAGTGAGTTTTGACATGTCTTGATTTGTCTGTTAATATATTAAAAATTTCAAGTTACAATTACAACTACATTTTATTATTAAGTGATGATAAGATTTATTATAATTGTAACAATGTATTTGTCTCTGGCCACGTTTAATGTTCGTGGTTTTAAACACACTATTGATCAAGATTGTAAAACATATAGAAGTGACATAATTGTATTACAAGAAACCAAAGTATGTGAACAGTATGGCTTTGTTTTTCTACATGTCAAAAAATTGATAATTTGTTTTGAACAATGTCAATCCAGGCATAGAGGGATTGGTTTTTTAATACATAGTAGAATTTCAGAATACATTGAAACTTGGAATATAATTGCAATGACATTGCCTATCTAAATATTATTTTGCCAAGTCATAACAATGATTATGTTAAATGCAGAATTGTTAACGCATACAGTCCCACTGCGGTGAAGGCAAAACCAATCCCAGTTTGATCTAGAAAAAGTTTGTAGAATACCTGCTAACTGGGAATTGTTTGTCTTAGGCGATTTCAATGCTGTACTTGTAAAAGTAAATAATACTGGTCTTGATAACATATCTGAATACATTGGTTTATATGGTCATGGATTCATTAATGATAGTGGTCAAATATTGAAACAAAGTTTATGATGAATAATAGTCCTTTTGCTTGCAATACTGCATTTAAACATAAGATTCGCCATGTAACAACACATACTATGTATGTTAAAAACTGGGCTGCTGGTAAACAAACAGATGAAACTAAGCCATACTATCGTCAAATTGATTATATATTGTGTAAAACTCATTTCAAATGTAGTTTTAGGCTGCATTATCATTACAAAAAATAGCAAGTTTGCGGACCAGATAATATTGCAACAGAATTTAATAAATATGCAAGTGATGAGTTTTATGTTTTTTATGCTAGCATTATTAATCAACGTTTTGAAAGAAATATACATTTACAGAGCTTAACCGAAGGAATTATTACACCTCTACAGAAACCAGGAAAACCAAAAGGTCCCTGTTTGAGACCACATACATAGATTAATGCTATTTGCGAAGTAATGTCATTAATTGTTTATAAACATATTGAAGAGACCGTCAATAATTATACTGGACCTTTTCAAAGTGCTTACAAGAGAGGTGGAAGCTGTGCTGATATAGTATGGGCACAAAGAATATTAATGTCAGTAGTCATGGAAAAGAATTGGCAATTTTATAAGATGGGTCTTGACATGACATCTACATTCGATACTATTAGACGAGACACTGTTCTACGATTATTAAAGGATGCTGGATGCGCAGATGATGAAATACGTCCTTGTTAGATTTTTGTTATCAAATACAATAATTGCAAGTTAGAGTTGGGGGAAAACTATCTAATAAGTTTGAATCCGTTTTGGGTTTGTCTCAAAGTGACTGTTGTCAAGATTTTTCTATACAATTACATTTGTCGGAGCTTTGTACAATTTGAGAGCTGTAACTGTGTTTCGACCACATCCACCAATTGACATGAAATGTTTACCCCTTGAGTTTTCGTATGCAGATGACATTGATTTCCTCTCTGAACTCTTATAGTAAAATCCATCATCATCGATCTAATTAAAAAAATTCAGTTAAACTAGCAATTTCATATTATATTTATATTAAATCTTTCTAACATGGGCTATATAAAAATCAGATTTTTCTTTAAATATCAAGTTTTGCTGGGAATGGCGCATTAAGTTTATTTTAGTTCAAAATTCTCATGCAGTACAGAAACTTTTAGTGGTGCGAAAACCAGGACCCTGCCATGGCCTGAGACTGACAAGCAAAATCCCAAGACTACATACAGTAAGTAAATCTATCTAAATATTAAAAGCAAACAACAATACAGAATATTATTAAACACATCTCAAAATATACGACTAGTTAATGATTAAATAAAAAGCGCAGGCCTGCCTAGGCCTAGGTGGGTCTACAACGATCTGTTGTTTATTTTTTTATAAGAGGAATGGTAAACCACACAAAGACCTAATTCCATGCATGCATGCATGCATCGGAGGAGGGTTACCTTGTCCTTACACTTACCCTTGACTTCGCCACTCTTTTTCGTTTCCTGGAACGGTGTGTCATCGTTAGTTGAATCTATCTTCGTGTCCATGATGTAAAATATAATGATATGACACGTGCTATGGAAAATTTAAACAATTCCGCATATTGCAACTACTACAAACCAGCATTTGGCAGCAACAATCTGCCACATTCACAAAAGTAAACATTCAACTTTTTTATCAACTAATAGTGTAAACATAGGGGGCGTACTATACGGTGTACAGAGTACAGAACTGTGTTGAGTCTGTAAAACTACGCGGTCTAGCACGATGTTCAACTGTAGATTCATATTCGCTTTTCTATTTTTACTTACACCATCAAATCGCCAAATTTCATTCTCGGACGGACGGATGTTGTTTTGATGTTGTTTTCGCGTGCACGCATTTTAAAATGACAGAGGAAGAAAAGAAGCAACATGTGAAATCTAAAGATGAACCGATATTTGTTCCAAAGTCTGCTAGTGATAGACAACGACTACATGTCGAAAGGTTGATGAAAAATCCGGTAATGATCAGAAAAACAGGCATCGCATTGCTAGGCTATAAATAAATAACAACACAGCCCTAACTCAAGTCCCAGCACAACAGACATGACTGCGTAGCTAGAAAGTAGATGCTAGCTAGGGCGGGAGTGCTAGTGCTAGGCCTAGCCTAGAGCATGGGTGCTCGATAATCAATTGTTAATGTATACAGTAGTTAGCTTAGTTAATTCCATCCAGGAAATATACTTTCCTCCATGGTCATTCATACTCTAGTGTAAAGACATTGTAAAATGCCACAGTAAACAACCGGAAAGCAGTGGGGGTGCCAGCATCTGTAATCGGGGGGTGGGGGGGGGGGGGGGGGGGGGGGGGGGGGTGTGAAATATGCTAGAGTGGCCAGAGGTGGACGTGGTCGGGCATTGTTCAAAATGTCTTAAAAGGCGAAGCCCCCAAAAAATGTAACGATATAGGGGTTTTAGAGGCTTATTCGATTTTATAGGTAGATAGTCTATTAATATGCAGAAAATACCTAACATATTCCCCCGATGGTTTTCTTCTTTTTGTGAAAGAAGACTAGGCCTACAGCTATATAAAAAAAAGTGATTCTTGATCAACTTAAGTTGACGAAAGTACCTGTATATAAACAATTCTGTATTAATATTTTTATTATAGCCAGACACCTCATCGATGATTTTAAATGACTACTTTTTAATATATAACATTTTCATAGCAAAACTCAAATAATTTTACCTTTGTAACTGGTTTCTTTGTTGCCCATTTTAATTATAACTGATTCTCCTACTTTTTTACAGTTTTATTTTTATGTATAATGATTTTGTAACCTATCTTTAGCAGTTTAAATTATGTTACTTGATGTGTATAGCTTTTTAGTGTTTTAATATTTTTATATAATAGTGTCTACTTTTTAAGAAGTTTTGTATTTTGTTTGTTGTTAGGCTATGAGCAGCCCTTGATGACAACTCTTCTTGCATTTTGGCAAACCTGCCCTTTTGTTCTTAAATTTGGCAAAATAAATGATACGATATGATATACTGTATACTTTGACTACCAGCAAACTAGATCTACCTTGCAACAACTGCCAAAATTGATCAAAATTGTTTTGTAATTTAGCAGTACAAAATTGGTTACCCACAGTCACACAGCATTTTCACTCTTTTTTTGTCTTTACCAAATAATATAATAATTGCTGCTTATGTATCCAAAGAATATTATGTTAAATATTTGTCTTTTGTTTTTTTTTAAGGAAAAACCAGTATTTATACCAGAAGTCAGAAAACAATGGAAACCTCGAGAACCCCCTGAATTTGTTCGTGATGTAATGGGTTAGTTAAAAAATTGAAATTTCAAACTTGTAAATTCATGTTGAAATCATTTTCAAGCAAGCAGTCTAAGTGATAATTATTTTTTTTAATAAGTAACACATTTGATTAGAACAATTCAAATTATGTTTGTTAAGTGTATTTCTGACAGTGTTTCAACATAAATGAATGTTCAAATCAAATAATCTTTGAAAAGAGATGATTTTATTCTATGTTATCAATAATTAATGAAGATCATTTTAAATGTGTGATGCATTGGTTGTTTGTTCTCAGGCTCGAGTGCTGGTGCTGGAAGTGGAGAATTTCACGTCTATCGTGGCTACAGACGAAGGGAGCAAGTCAGGCAAGATTTTATCGATGGCCAAAATGAAAAGGCGAGTTTCTACTTTAATCCCTATGCTTTGCAACAAATTAAAATGCTCACAAATGGTTTACAAATAATGAATGTTCATGAGCGCAATGGGAAGAATATTTTTACTAGGTGGAGCCGAATTGAAAGGAACAGTCAATCTTTCAACTCATGAAAATATTCTTTCCATTTCGCGATTAATCTATTACATTAAAGATTGTATAGGTTGAAGTTATGTCATTTCCTAGGCACCGTGCAAGTGGCAAAAACAGATGGGAAGAAAATGCACGGATGGAAATTTATTTACATGATGAGTGGCAAAATGGGGTAAATAACCAATGTCACGTGATACCAAATCCACCAATCAAATGACAGGGATCCATTTTCTGTTATAAATGTAGATGCTCACAAGGAAAGTGGCTACTGCAATTGCCTCATTTTTGGTAGTTTTGAGATGCACACTGGTGGAATAAAATCATGCATTTAGATCACAATATTATGTATTGGCAATCACAAATAACTTTCTTTGGATCGGTAAACTTTTTTTTTTTTTGACGACCTCATTGTGGTGTCAGATGATGGGGGTCCATGCTTGACTGACAAGTGTGCCACCACTGGGACTACTAGGAATGGTGGACTTACCTTGAATCTATTTGTTTTCCCCTTTCCTGTTCAATGTGTAGGTGATTCTAGAGTTACTGATATTACGGCAGCTCTGATGTACTTAAGTGTCTCATTTTTACTCAGCAACATCACTCCACAGCCTCATAATCAGTTATTTTATTTTTCATAGGATGAAAAAGAAGCCGAGTTTCAAAAGAAATTACAAGAAAATGAAAAACAAGCTGAAGAGAGAACTGCTAAAAAACGAGCTAAACGGTAATTGATTCTCGATAATATCAACCAATGGGAGTAATGTAATATTTACATATTTTGAAATCCCGGTTTTAGTATGATGCATCACATACTACTGTTATTGTTGTTATTACTGTTATTGTTGTTAGTATACATTATCAATTTTATTCAAAATTTATAGGTCAAGAAAAAGAATATAATTTCTGTTTATGTCTTAATAAATGACTAATTCACATTTATAGGAATAAGAAGAAACTTAACGCAAAACTGAAGAAGCAAAAACTTGAGGAAAGTACTAAAGGTAAGTTTATTGAAATATTAGTAAGACATGTGTTTATATTTTACGAGATATGTCCATTATTATGGAAAATAATAGCTAAGAAAACCATAAAGTCTTTCCCTCTCATTATGGAATCCTGGCCGAGGCCTTGGGTGAACCATGGTTTAGACCCTCTGTCGTACTTGTCGGTCAATTTCTAGAGGCACTACTGGTGTGAATATAAAGGAATAAGAATTAATTAATTTTTTTTTCACCTACCACAACAGAAGATGATGAAGAGGAGGAGGAGGAGGAGGAAGAGAATACTGGAGAAGAAACGTGTTTTGTGATTGGTGGAAGGTAACTGACAACAGCACCTTCAAAAGGTGCTCAGGGAGTGGTTTAAAGATGGACAGTGGATAAGCAGGCTACTTTTAATGAACATTGTTGGACCAAAGATTTATCATTTGCTGGTAATAGAACCGTGCATTGGTTCAAAAGGCATTGATCCTCTTGCAACAGCCAGGTCTTCCTCATCAGTAGCAGTGAATCGTAAGCTCCCACAAAAACGACAGTGCAAACGTATGCAAGCGCATGTTTGGGCGACAACCACATATTTCTGGCTCTCTACTGATTTGTCAAGTTGGAATATATGAAATACTGTATATTCTCGCATACAAGACAAGGATTAAAATAGAAAAATACGATCGGAAAACAGGGGGTCGTCTAAAATTTTTAAACCATGTTCGTCTTACATGCGGATCGTCGCAAATTTACTACTGTCAAATGAAGCTACTAACTATTCGTATGAATGAAAGCAATTTTAAATGATGCGGAGAAATAAGATTTTGATGAACATTTAAAAGCCCATAAAAATGGTATTCTTTGAAAGATTAGCCATACATTTGGCTCTGTTTTTTAGTTAGCCAGCTAGATTCAGTATTAAGACCAAAAGAGAGCAGCAGAAAGTTAAAATTCTGACCATGAAACAAGGGGGTCATCTTATACGTTATAAGGGGGTTATGCAAAAGTCTTCTCAAACATGTTGGTTGTATTTTTTTGTGACAATATATATATACGGTACAGCTACATTAATATTCTTGGACAAGCAGTGTTCCAAAATACTGCGTATAGAATGTGTATCATAAACATTGGGGGAATTCATCTGCTTTGTTTACAGTACTGTACAGTATAATAAAAAATATACTATAAAACTAGCAATGAATTCAGTGTTTTTTGGTTGTCACAGTGTGAAGGAAATAAATGGATTTGATCCCCATATGATATTTGGCTATTTCAACCTGGTACTTATGGATTTAATAGGACACAAGCAATGAAGATATGGTCCAACAATATACCATAGTCGATGAAATCCCAGGTATTCAGTGATACAAATGCTGCTGTGATGTCAGAGCATTGTTGAAATTCCCAAATATCAAAGGAAAACAAGTTCCTAGTACAAGTTGCTATACACAGTACAATGTACAGTATGCACAACCAGATATTTCGCTTGTGTTACAATTAAAGACTTCCTGATCAAACCAAATAACGTACATTTTTCATCATTATATATTATTAAGTGTAGAGTGCACACAGTGGCGGATCCAGAAAAATTTAAAATAGGCAATGGCCCATGGCGGGATTTTATGTCTATGTCACCTTATTATGACCAGAAATGGCACACGCAAGACTTTAAATTTCTAAAGCAAATTTTTTTTTTCCCTCCCTAATTTTTTAATTTTAAAAATAGGGCTCTCACCTCTGAATGCCCTTCTGGTATAGAAACATTGCATGAAATTTTTCTGTGCCAACAGTTGTGTTCATAGTAACAGCTTGGCAAGTAGACTTGCACCAAATCTCTAATCAACAAGAAAACGAGGCTTACTTTGGTCAATAATGAGAAATTTAAGCTGGATTGAATCCAATGCTACTTGGTCAGGAACAGCCGGCCCAGGGCCACATAAATTTTTCAAAAATTGTAAAAAAGTGAAGAAAAAAGAAAATTACTGTATATTTAAATGCAAGTTTGAGAGTGCCATTTCTGGCCATTTAAAGCTGCCATAATCAAATTAGTAGGGCTGAGGTGCCCCTTCTCTATTTTGAAGTCTTGGATCTGCCTTCTGTAATAAACCTAGAAGCGCTAGCCTCTTGCATAATTGAACTCATCATATCTTGTAGCATAACTAGCTATAAGAGCAAACTTATTATATAGTTGGTTTAAAAGGCAATGAAAATCAGCATTAAGGCTGACTAGGTGTCTAATGATGTGGGTATCTAATGAAGAAAAATATATAGAATGACAGGCACATATATTAATGTGTGATTAAATAAATCAGCAAATGAAAGCACTGTACAATGCAACAGAGGCAAGACTTTTTGGATACCTTCTACAGCAAAAACTTCTAATTTACCGAAATAGTGTTGTCAAAGGCATCAAGGCAGAGAAAATTCAAATACGGTACATTTATGTTTATTCGTCAATAAAATTTTGAGTGTGCAAAGTAAAAAATAAGACACTTGCTCAAGATCAAATTGCACAATAAAGAATGCGATGTTATTATGTTGAACACAGCATGGTATGAATCGGGTTGATAAATGGTTTAAATTTATATAAAGGATGAAAAAGATCCCTTGTTTTAGGCATAATCTTCTTAAAGGAAATTACTGACCAAAAGTAAATTTTTATTTTTATTTGAAATCATTATTAGCAGACGGTGGGTTTGCGAAACAATGTATCAAAAAGTCTTGTCTATTGTAAAAGAAAAGATGTTGGCAATATTATACTAATACAAAGCTTATTTTATTCACTACCAAACAGGACATATTGTACAACACAGGATAATTCTTCTAAGAACATTGGAATTTGTACAAGTTACAATGATTTCTTTATCTTTCACTACTACCCACGTCCTCTCCAGCTAAAGGACTGGCTGTAAACATTTAAAGATAAATTATTTAAAATAAAATGTTCACAATGATTTAACTAAGTCATAATAAGACCACTGCTGTACATATCACAAGTTAGCATTTTTGTCCATGGCTACGTCATGGCTGTATAGAATATGGATGCTGTAACCACTCAGGAAATTTAAAATTTCTATGAACACGCCCGATACATTCAACCAACAGTCTCGTCAATGAAGCTCAAATACTGTACATCTCGCTTTCTCACACATTTAACTATATACTTAAGAGTTTTGACTTCACAATTTGACGACACAGATTATAATGTGCTTGGGACAAACCTCCCAACCTTAAACTCCCCAGAAACTTAATAGCAGGTTAGGTATTGGTGGAATAATTAATCACATTTATATTTCATTTATATGAAATACAAATACAATATTCAGTAACCTCAAATGTAAGAGAACAAAATTTTGGCAAGATCATTCCCCATTTGATGTTAAAATCGCATATTATTCGGTACATATTTCCACTATTTCTAAAACCACATAGTAAAGAGCACTGGATTTCATACAACATTACTATGGGTAGTCCAACCAGACAGGGTCCAGAAAGTGAGCCACACGAGAATTAACAGTTAAGGGGACGGGTGATGCAAATATGTTGCTAACATACAGATAATCTAGTTCATTTAGAATAATATATGCAACCAATAAATATTAATTTTACATTAATATCACTTCAGTCTATGGAGAGGTGTTGCCATGTACACCAACAAATCAATTGAACAATCCAATCAACACATTAATTAAAAACGGTGAAATCGGATATTAGATTTACCCCAACCATTCACCTGACGTAAAAAAGAATTTATAAATTAATAAATACAATAAATCAATAGCCTGTCACATATTTTGTCACAAACTTATATATTTTTATAAGTGTACACAATTGGATACTAAAAATCAAGGTCAGTCATTTCGTGTAGTAGGCAAGTTTATCTGAATAATTTTTAGAATCCAAAAAACTATTAGTCTTTTTCACAACAGTTAAAAAACAACCTTGTTTGAGTTCTTCACCACTGAAATTAAAGTTGATGACAGATCTTTTCATATACCACTTGAAGTCTGTCTAATGTTCAAATCATTAAAGATAGGACGAGTAAAAACTAATGTACTACAGATATAAAATTGGGAATTTTTCAGATTAACTCCTTTCGTTGATTTTGTTTTTTAATCAAATAAAAGGAGAATCAGCTGTCAACTTTTATAAGAATAAGAGTTCTATGTTTAGTTGAATGAAGTTTTTGAAAAATACAGAAACACATTTTTCCATTTTGCCAGACTGAACGTCGTCACAATCGAGGGAATGCAAAATGTTACTGGTGATTAGTTTGGAAACATGATGCACTGATGTCTCTTGTAAAATATTGAATTCACTGGACTAAACTTGGTGATGAATCCGGTTTGAAATGCAGAATCATTTCTTTGCATTCTTCTGGTTGGCTTTTCCTCTTGGTGGCGTCACAGGCCTGCCTGCATTGTAACCACCATACGGAAACTTCTTTTTGTCAGCTGGTTTTAAAATCTGAAAAAAGAAAATAATGCGGGACTGAGTAAAACATACTTTAATCAAAATAACAATTGGAAAAAAATAGACACAAAATATTAGAAAACACCAAGTACTTGTTAATCAATTATTTTACCCTACATCAGCGGATAAACTTTATAAAGCAATTTAGCTTGCTTCTTGTTTATCCTGTTGTAATTTTTTTTTGTATTATTGTTTTATGAAGTAAATGTAATGAAAAAAATTAATTTCCTAAGTTTTTGCACAATTACAATCTTATTTAAAGTATGTCTAAGGATCTTGATTTGGTGTAAAAATAACAAAATACCACAAAAATCGTAAGTATCTCGCAGTCAATGGACAACTACTAGGGATACTGCATATTATGTTATATATGTTTGCTGTCTCGACTTTATTGGCACATTTATAATTTACCTTGTTTACTGATCAATTTCAATCATCATTTAAATTCTCAGGTAGTTTTTATTGGCTTGGACTATATTCATTCTTGACAATGTTCTACAATGAAATGTAGAATCAACTGTGGCCTCACTGTATTTTTTTTTATGTAAATCCATCATAAAAATATATTATACTCACTTCTTTATTACTAGTTTTTAATTTTTTTAAAAATGATATCCCTACAGAAGGTATTGAAGTAGAAGTCAAAATAATCAACAGATCCACTGGCTTAAAAACGACCGACCATAAGAAGCAAATAATGAGGGATAAAAATCACCAGGAGCATCAAATTCCAAGAGGTTTATAGCTATATGAATGCTAGTGGACATTGCCAAATGCCAAAAGGCAAAGTTTATTTCTGCAGATAATAATGTATGTAGGCAATTACCAAGCTTACTAATACTATACAAGATGGCAAATATAGTAAGTTTAATGACACCTGGTGGAACATCTCTAACCAAATAAACAGGAAATCTAACCTATAAAATAGAAATGTTATTCTTGATAACTGGTGAAGGAGGTAGTGAAAATAAATAGAAGGCAGCACGAACTATGATATTAGTGATAGCTAGTCTACATTTTGGCAGTATGAAAATTAAATATGGTGGTGTATGATTAAGCTTTGGAGAAGAGATGGGTTATATGTTTGTTATTTTCAGGTTTTTGGCTTGTGAGATGTTGAGGGTGCAAAAAAGTATGTTGATTACCAAATCATAGGGAGTTGAACCTGCACAGGTTTGGAGTGCCCACTCCTCCTCACAGCTTATTCTGTTTACACTACATATACATGTACCGAATACACCTTAGGTATAGAGAGACTAACACAGATAAAGTGTCTTGTTTAAGGACAAAAACGACCTCCACAGCTAGAGTTTTGAATCCCCGACCATGAGGTTGACACTCTGAGCCTCAACTGCTATGCTAAACGTATCCACAATCACAGGATTCCCACCTTCATTCAAATATAACTAATTGATTACTAAGTAATACAGTACTAGTAAGACAAAATATATGTTCATCCTTACCTGATGTGCCCTGCATATCAAGTCCAAATCATGCTTATTTAAGAATTTCGCAACAATCTCGCTTCCAAAGGTGAAGGATACTCCACGATCATTTTCACCCCAGCCTACAGTTTCCTTGTCAGGGTCAGACCATAGCAGATCACACAATAACCCCTGATCCGGTACATCTGTCGGCCTCATGATTCTTCGAATTTGTTCCATTGATTGCAAGTCTGGCGAGAGTCCTGTGAAAGAAATATGTAACAGTTATAAAACAAATTACAATTAGGCTGTTTTCTTCTTAATCTGAATATTAATTGTAAATGTTTGAATACTTTTAAAATAAACCTTAAGCTACAGTATTACTATAAAAGCCAGAAAGAACAACAACTAAAACTGGATAGGAAAATTTATGACAGATGATGGCAATTAATCAAAGAGCTACTTCTGCCTGCTGTGCATTCCATTCTTGAACATGCCTCTTGGTGGATAATCTTTAGAGTACTGGGTTCCAACCCTGCAAACTGGCATTACTGTCACAATCATAGGTTTAGCTAGAAAAAATAAATACAGTACAGCCCACAATTACTGCAATGTTCCCCACGCAAGCCATGTGTGATAACTTCATTTTAGTTGTGTGATAGGATCTACCACCACATGTAGAACGTGGCCTGATAAACAATTATACCACAAGATGTGTTGAACTTCAGTGAACAGTTGTCAATTAGAGTAAAGAATTCAAACGTTTATCTAAGATATTATCGAGCAAAATACACTGTGTAGTATTTTACTTTAATTGTACATTATTAGTAAGTTTGATCTCAAGATTGTCAGTCCTACCAAATATTGGCCTAGACTAGGGCCTTGATCGACTTGCTCATCATCAGGCCCTACTCACCCACGGACTCAGTCGTAAAAGTTTATTACCTTGTTGATGTTACTTATCCACAGGTATCCATATGTCCTTATACTAAACACTACACAAATGCAATGTTAATTTTCCTACATGTTGGAAGAAAATTAGTAGGCCTAGCCTAGAGAAGGAGGCTTATCCTAGACCTACAACTACAGGCTACAGCAGCAGTAGAGTCGAAAAGATGTGCATGGGAACATCAGAAAATAATTGGCTTTCGGCCAAAAGGTCATTAGTATTATAGTTATAGTATTATATATAAAATAATTGAACGAATAGGAACCAAATTCAATTATTTATTGATAAAACGTTGAAAATTCATTCCACCGTTGTTCCTTCCAGTCTCAAACCCATTCAGCTGTATTGAGTGCGTGAGCTGAGAGAAGCACATGTTCTGCCTTCTTAAACAATAATTGGCATTCACATTGTCATTGAGATAGAGTAAAATTATGATCATAACGATATTAATACAGTATATTATATATAAAATAATTAAACGAATAGGATCCGTATTCAATTATTTATTGATAAAACGTTGAAAATTCATCCCACCGTTGTTCCTTCCAGTCTCAAACCTATTCAGCCATATCAAGAGCGAGAGCTGAGAGAAGCACATATTCTGCCTTCAAAAACAGACCGCATTACAGCAGTATATCAGTTAAGAAATTATTACACCATGCCCGATCGGAAATAGCGACATAGTGTAGAACGAAAAAAAAAAAAAAAAGAAGATGTATTTTAGCAAAGTATTTTAAACTTTCAAATGATTTTAAGCGGTCACCAAAATGACTGAAAGCAATTGGTTATTTTTTCACCAATCCAAAATAGTTTTCACCCATGATGATCGGTTAGTGTGAGCCCTGTAAGGGTCACCAGACGGGCGATACCCAAGACAGTTATTATCGCCCAACACCAAAAAAGGTTGCACTGGCGACCGCTAATTTTCAGCCCTGTGTGTGATGTCATCATGACCATATATTTAGCATATTCCATGTTTTTGTCAAATAAAATGTGATTAGTCTGTACAGGTCTATAATTGGCAATTTTACTTCGTGTTGGATGTGACCAAGATGATGTTCCATCTGCACCTTTGTGTAATCAAATCCTATTGTATGAATAATTTTCCTGAACCTGATATCACCATGCTAAAACAGGCATCATATTGGATTACACCATTTTTACCAAGCAGATCAATCCTTCGTCTTCATTAGCGTACTGTATTTCGAAACTAGTGTCATTCCATACACTCTAATATCTTTTTAAAAATTAAATTCTATCAACCATCCAATATGTTTAGAATGCAAGATGCATTTTTCCTATCAAATAACTAACAACATGAGTTTGCAAAATTAATGTTAACCATTAAGGCTCAACATATTCTAGATGTTAGTTTTTTAGAAGGTCATAGCTACGCTATCATACTTTAATATTGCAAATTTTCATTGCTAAAGTTGCTGGAAATCCTACTAAATACTTTCTCATTGTTTGTATTATCAGATTGGGAAAATATGCACACTATGAATGTGTAATTTTTTTTTAACAGGCAACATGATTGGTTGTGAATTTAGTCATAACACATTTTTTGTAGTAAACATAAGAGATTTTGTTTCTTATCTGTTAGTATAACTTGAAGCTTATGTATTCCTCTAAAGTTACTGGACATTGTTTCTAAGCACAATATTTTCTGAAGACCAAACATATGTAGGCCTATCTAATTTGCAATGACGACACATTCCATTCTAAATATAGATATTTTAATCTTTGTTATAAATTAAGAATTTCATAGTATTTCAATAAATCCTACATCAGGATATAAAAGGTCATTCTAGGTATCATCCATATTTGACTATAGTTATTTGTTTTGATTTAGTTTTTTTTTTTTTATTCATTTATGTTTATCTAATATCGAATAAATCAAATCAAACATTTTGGCAAAATTTACCAATCAGATAGCCACACCTTATAAACAGTAGGCAACATGGGGAAACATATTCGCCCACACATTAATACACTGAAACTGAAGAGTGGATAAGACCAGTTCTACCACAACCTGGAATGAGTCATATCAATTACTGTTTCATAGCGATGACCTTGGCCTTATTCACACACACATACACAATCAGCAACAGTCCTGGCCATTTACAGTACTACCAGAGCCCTTGGCATGAAATTGTGTTGTCTATTGGTATAGAAGCACACAACATTGGCAGCCATACCAAAAACAAATGCAAGGCTAGATACAGTACCTAAGCTAATTACAGTACAATATTTTCAGGATGTCTACTTTCCGCAAACATACATTTTTTTAATTTTTATTTTGTCTGATCGAAAATTATGTATTTAAAGAGTTATCAAAGTACTTCCGCAACCTGCCAAGAATAGCAGGACTAAAGAATATTTAGGGCTCAGACAAAATACCAATGAAAACAATGACTAAGACTTTCACTTTTAAAAATGATAGCATTGCTAATGTAAAAAGCAATTTAACATTATGTCCACTTGACTGGTTCCTTATAAACAAGTTAACCTGAGGTTGACTCACCTCCGTGACAGCAGAAAATCTTCTCATCTATGATGGCTGCTATAGGCAAACAATTGAAGCAGTCTGTAAATGTTTTCCATAACTTGATGTTATATCTTCTTTTACCTGTACAAAAATCAAGGCAAACATACATTAAAAATTAATACCTTTTGTAACTGTACCAGATTACTTTTCTTAAAATTGTGCATGACCACAAAATGTTGAAGCCAGTTTTACAACATATCAATTGTTCCTGTCTAAAGGCATGCTTTTAAAAGATTTAAAGCCAATTAAACATCTTAATGGATACATAAAAATTAATAAAAACAAAGAAATAAATTATCTTATAAAAGAAATAAGTCATCATATATAAATGAAAGGATCATTTTTTTTTTAAAGAATACTAAGTGGTAACTAAAAGCTGTTTCTTTCACCACTGAAAAAAGAAGCAATTTATTCTAGATTAGAAGAAAAGATCAACCAATTGCAGTGTAAAAATGTATACAGAATCTGAATTCACTGGCCATTACTTCTACTGTATTGCAGTTATTATTGATGACACCATTTACCTTTTTCAGAAAACACATATCAAGCTGAAATGTCAATGACACCAAACTAGCAGTACATTTCATATCAGCATTAGCCAGAATATGTAATGCATCTGAAAATACATTATATGGCCTTAGACGGCATATTATCACTGTTATTCCAAGCTACGCAAGCTGTGCATTACAGTATATTATAAATTTCTTTCTTAAAAATTTGTAATTCCAGAGTTGCCAGTCTAACTAGAGGTATAATTTGCTTAATTTGGTAGAGTTACATGTAATATTTAGGACTAGATTACATATTACTTTTTTTAGTTTGTCTTAATTATTTAGATTTCATTAATTTGGTCATGTGAGAATGAGCAACAACATGAGCTGTCCAAAGGTGATGTTAATTAAAGCCAATGGTGGTATAATGTATAATTTGGCCATAATTCTTATTAGTATACTTCGCATTAATTGTTTGTCTCTCATTAGGCCTAGAAATTAATTTGTTATGATTCCGCCTATCAAAGTTGTCTCGATTAAATGCCTCCAGCACCAAATGTTATCTGTATACAGTACAGTCATGAAATATTGCACTTTTACCTGCATGCAGGCTTCGTAGATACATCGTAGCCTGATATAAACAATCTAACCTGCGCGCAGGCTTCGTAGCCTGATATAAACAATCTAAGCAAGGCTACGCGAAGCGAACCTACGAAGCAAAAGCATGTTGTTTATTTGTATGTGCAGAAAGACTGCTGCATCTTACTGGAATAAACAATGTATTGTTTGATAACTTGTGAATGGCAAACACGAGTTTAGACCGTTAATTTAAAGTATGGAACTGTTTTTCAATAAGAAAAACGTACACTTGAC